TCTTCATTGCCATATGTAGCTCTGCTTCTTTGGATGCCAAAGCTGATGCTTCAATAAAGCAGGAATAGCTTCAGAAGTCCCATTTAATGAAAGAAAGGGAGAGCTCTTATCCCATTGAAGTCCAGCTGCTGGATGAGCTCACTGGCTCTGACTGGAGTCACACGCTGTGGCTGTCATCTTCTGAGATACCTGAGCGAGCCACAGACAAAATCAGAGGGCATTTTTAACGATGAAGCGTTGCTACACACCCTGAAGTGGACAGACGGCCGCTGCGAGACAACACGGACGCGGAGGCTTGTGCTGACGTACTGCCTCATCCTGGCTATCTCGGCTCCTTTAGCTTCACCTCTTATCGGATGGACCTTCGGCACCTTCAGCACATGGGCAAAGGGTTGTGTATCGCCTGGAAAAAAAATTAAACAGCTACAACATAGATGCATAGATTGACCACATAGACAACATCCTAAAACTAACTCCAAACTCAGTTCAGGAGTAAAATTCTCACCTCGCTCGTCTCCCTGCTGAGCCGCTACCCCTCGACACCGATTGGGCCCCATCTGGAAAACAAAAAACAAAAAGGCACAAGATAAAGGACTCCTGTGGTTAAAACTGACATCCTACATCCAACACCTAATACAACCTTCTTCCCAGGCTGCTTCAACTTCTCTCAGTCTGGGGTATATTGTGTCTGCTTATCTGAAAAAAAAAACAACAAAAAACAAAGGGTTAGTCAGGTCACCCACATGGTCACTGAGATTTTAACCACTTAACTCATCTCCACTGAGCGAGTGAGAACTCTGACCGCAGCGTACAAGAATACAAATGACAACCCAGCCGCAAGGCCCCGCTATCCAAGTACCATCAGTCCCACAACACTCGGCTATAACGATGGCACACCAGTTATGTACACCCGCTCCATCCGGCAGGACCGTACAGCCATCGGCTCAACTGCCTAAGGTAAGTGACATGTTGATGGGAGACTGAGCAATATTCTATCTACCCACTGACCCACGGAGCAGGGCAGAGCAGTTCCAGGCTGACCCCAAGTGAGACACCCCGCACCAGTGACGACACACACCATGTGACACAATTAAGAGAAGAAGGACACAAAACAGGAACGAGACAGAGAACGTGACACAGACCGGAACTGCTCTGCCCTGCACACGTGAATCCAGGCATACAAAGTAAGTCCTTCCTTCCATGTGTCCAAATAACCTGTTACAAAATAGCCATTGCACTGCACTAATTTCAAAAATCCTTCCGGGAGATGCACACACTTGCACTGAGTCCCAACCCCTCTCTGGGTCTTTGCCCTGCACTTATCTTGCCTACAGTCGGGGATGCAAATCCATCTTCGATGCAGAGGAGGGGCACCTGGGCTGACTCAGAGGTTCCTGCCATCGTCAGACTACTAGGAGTCAACTGTGAGAAAGAAAACGAGACACAAGATCTGAGTAGTGTGGCACGTGGCCCCAGCCCCCGTGATCCCTCGACTCACCGTCACCCAGGCAGGTCCTCGTGTCACTGGCTCTGACCAGACTTGGACAATGTGCTGTCATCTTCTGGGATACCTGAGCGAGAGAGAGACAAAATTAGAGGACATTTCTGAAGCTCTAGTGGATCCCTGCTCCTCCTGCTGCCTCCCCAACTCACCTAGAAGGCTCCTCTCTCTTCAGCTGCTCCCAAGGCTTCCCCTGCAAATGAAAGGGGTAAGTGCTCAAACACTGAGCTCTCAAACATTTAGGGATGGCTCACAAGCAAAGCCAAAAATCTCTTAATCCCATCAGACTCCACACCGAAGCGTTGCTACACACCGGGAAGTGGACAGACGGCCGCTGCGAGACAACACGGACGCGGAGGTTTGTGCTGACGTACTGCCTCATCCTGGCTCTCTCGGCTCCTTCAGCTTGATCTCTTATAGGATGGATCTTCGGTACCTTCAGCACATGGGCAAAGGGTTGTGTATCGCCTGGAAAAAAAATTAAACAGCTACAACATAGATGCATAGATTGACCACATAGACAACATCCTCAAACTAACTCCAAATTTGGTTCTTGAGTAAAATTCTCACCACGCTCATCTCCCTGCTGAGCCGCTACCCCTCGAGACCGAGTGGGCCCAATCTGGAAAATAAAAAACAAAAAGGCACAAGATAAAGGACTCCTATGGCTAAAACTGACATCCTACATCCAACACCTAATACAACCTTCTTCCCAGGCTGCTTCAACTGGTCTCGGACTGGGGTACATTGTGACCGCTTATCTGAAAAAAACAACAAAAAACAAAGGGTTAGTCAGGTCACCCACATGGTCACTGAGACCTTAACCACTTAAAAGAACTCATTTCCACTGAGCGAGTGAGAACTCTGACTGCAGCGTACAAGAATACAAATGACAACCCAGCTTTGAGGCCCTGCTCTCCAAGTACCATCAGCTCCACAACACTCGGCTATAATGATGGCACACCAGTTATGTACACCCGCTCCATCCAGCAGGACTGTAGAGCCATTGGCTCAACTGCCTAAGGTAACTGACATGTTGATGGGAGACTCTGAGCAATATTCTATCTACCCACTGACCCACGGAGCAGGGCAGAGCAGTTCCAGGCTCACCCCAAGTGAGACACCCCGCACCAGTGACGACACACAACATGTGACACAATTAAGAGAAGAAGGACACAAAACAGGAACGGGACAAAGGACGTGACACAGACCGGAACTGCTCTGCCCTGCACACGTGAATCCAATGATACAAAGTAAACCCTTCCTTCCATGTGTCCAAATAACCTGTTACAAAATAGCCATTGCACTGCACTAATTTCAAAAATCCCTCCAGGTGAGGCACATACTTGCACCGAGTCCCAACCCCTCTCTGGGTCTTTGCCCTGCACTTATCTTGCCGGTAGCCGGGGACGAGAATCCATCTTCGATGCAGAGGAGGGGCACCTGGGCTGGCTCAGAGGTTCCTGGCATCATGAGAGTACTCCAAGTCAACTACAAGAAAGAAAACCAGAAGCGATATGTGAGCTGTGTGCCATGGGGCTCGAACCCCAGTGATCCCCCTACTCACCATCACTGAGGCCGGACCGGAGTCGGACACTGGCTGTCACCTTCCGGGATACCTGAGTGAGTGAGACATAACATCAGAAGGCATCTCTGAAGCTGCAGTGGATCCCTGCTCCTCCTGGTGCCTCCCCGACTCACCTAGAAGGCTCCTCTCTCTTCAGCTGCTCCCAAGGCCTCCCCTGCAAATGAATTGGGCCCATCTGGAAAATAAAAAACAAAAAGGCACAAGATAAAAGACTCCTATGGCTAAAACTGACATCCTGCATCCAACACCTAATACAACCTTCTTCCCAGGCTGCTTCAACTTCTCTCAATCTGGGGTACGTTGTGTCCGCTTATCTGACAAAAAAAACCAACAAAAAACAAAGGGTTAGTCAGGTCACCCACATGGTCACTGAGATCTTAACCACTTAACTCATTTCCACTGAGCGAGTGAGAACTCTGACCGCAGCCTACAAGAATACAAATGACAACCCAGCCACAAGGCCCTGCTCTCCAAGTACCATCAGCTCCACAACACTCAGCTATAATGATGGCACACCAGTTATGTACACCCGCTCCATCCGGGAGGACCGTACAGCCATCGGCTCCACTGCCTGAGGTAAGTGACATGTTGATGGGAGACTCTGAGCAATATTCTATCTACCCACTGACCCACGGAGCAGGGCAGAGCAGTTCCAAGCTGACCCCAAGTGAGACACTCCGCACCAGTGACGACACACACCATGTGACACAACTAAGAGAAGAAGGACACAAAACACAGATGAGACAGAGGACGTGACACAGACCGGAACTGCTCTGCCCTGCACACGTGAATCCAACGATACAAAGTAAGTCCTTCCTTGGATGTGTCCAAATAACCTGTTACAGGATAGCCATTGCACTGCACTAATTTCAAAAATCCCTCCAGGTGAGGCACATACTTGCACCGAGTTCCAACCCCTCTCTGGGTCTTTGCCCTGCACTTATCTTTCCGACAGGCGGGGTTGTGAATCCATCTTCGATGCAGAGGAGGGGCACCTGGGCTGGCTCAGAGGTTCCTGGCATCATGAGAGTACTCCAAGTCAACTACAAGAAAGAAAACCAGAAGCGATTAGTGAGCTGTGTGCCATGGGGCTCAAACCCCAGTGATCCCCCTACTCACCATCAGCGAGACCAAACCGGAGTCGGACACTGTGGCTGTCACCTTCCGGGATACCTGAGTGAGTGAGACACAACATTAGAGGGCAGTAGTAAAGTGACAGTGGATCCCTGCTCCTCCCGCTGCCTCCCCAACTCACCTAGAAGGTTCCTCTCTCTTCAGCTGCTCCCAAGGCCTCCCCTGCAAATGAAAGGGGTAAATGCTCAAGCACTGAGCTCTCAAACATTTAGGGATGGCTCACAAGCAAAGCCAAAAATCTCTTAAGCCCATCTGACTGCACGCCGAAGCGTTGCTACACACCCTGAAGTGGACAGACGGTCGCTGCGAGACAACACAGACACGGAGGCTTGTGCTGACGTACTGCCTCATCCTGGCTCTCTCGGTTCCTTCAGCTTGATCTCTTATCGGATGGACCTTCGGCACCTTCAGCAGACAGGCAAAGGGTTGTGTATCGCCTGGAAAAAAAATTAAACAGCTACAACATAGACGCACAGATTGACCACATAGACAACATTCTCAAACTAACTCCAAATTCGGCTTGGGATTAAAATTCTCACCTCGCTCGTCTCCCTACTGAGCCGCTACCCCTCGAGACCGATTGGGCCCAACCTGGAAAATAAAAAACAAAAAGGCACAAGATAAAGGACTCCTGTGGCTAAAACTGACATCCTTCATCCAACACCTAATACAACCTTCTTACCAGGCTGCTTCAACTGGTCTCGGTCTGGGGTACATTGTGTCCGCTTATCTGAAAAAAACCAACAAAAAACAAAGGGTTAGTCAGGTCACCCACATGGTCACTGAGATCTTAACCACTTAACTCATCTCCACTGAGCGAGTGAGAACTCTGACCGCAGCCTACAAGAACACAAATGACAACCCAGCTGCGAGGCCCTGCTGTCCAAGCACCATCAGCTCCACAACACTCAGCTATAATGATTGCACATGAGTTATGTACACCCGCTCCATCCGGCAGGACCGTACAGACATTGCCTCGACTGTCTAAGGTAAAAGACACGTTGATGGGAGACTCTGAGCAATATTCTATCTACCCACTGATCCACGGAGCAGGGCAGAGCAGTTCCATGCTGACCCCAAGTGAAACACCCCGCACCAGTGACGACACACACACCATGGAACACAATTAAGAGAAGAAGGACACAAAACAGGAACGAGACAGAGAACATGACACAGACGGGAACTGCTCTGCCCTGCACATGTGAATCCAATGATAAAAAGTAAGCCCTTCCTTCCATGTGTCCAAATAACCTGTTACAGGACACCCATTGCACTGCACTTATTTCAAAAATCCCTCCAGGTGAGGCACACATTTGCACCGAGTCCCAACCCCTCTCTGGGTCTTTGCCCTGCACTTATCTTGCCGAGAGCCGGGGACGTGAATCCATCTTTGATGCAGAGGAGGGGCACCTGGGCTGGCTCAGAGGTTTCTGCCATCGTCAGACTATTAGGAGTCAACTGCGAGAAAGAAAACGAGACACAAGATCTGAGTAGTGTGGCACGTGGCCCCAGCCCCCGTGATCCCTCTACGCACCGTCACCCAGGCAGGTCCTCGTGTCACTGGCTCTGACCAGACTTGGACAATGTGCTGTCATCTTTTGGGATACTTTACACCCTGTCCCTCTGACATGGGAACGAAATGATTTACCCACGTCACCCAGACAGACGGGGAGAGCTCAAAGAGTCTCCTTTCTCTTTAAGCAAACCACCCAGGGTCACTGCCTGCAGCCAAAGACTG